GTGAGTAATTCTGGGAGTTGAAGTCCACTCATCTTAAAGTGGCCAAGTTTGGACAACACTGCTCTATTCTTTCCACAAGAGCTGGGACATCAATAAATCACAGCACTGACCCTTGAATGCCTTCATTCTGGATGGGTTCACATGAATCTAAGCGAACAACGTTCTGACACCACTCTTTTTTGAAGAGTAGTTTTCAAATCCCTACCACTTAAATTGTTCTCGGTAGAATTTAGGGCCTACCTGCAATGTATTGTCTTTCTGAAATCTTTAGCATTAAAACTGAGTTTAGATTAGGCCCCTAGAATTGAATGTAGGACTCTTTTCTTCAGGCTGAAAATGGGGCTCTTCCTATGAAATCGTCAATCACCTGCAGGCTTCCATCTACAGAAGCATCTTTGCCTCTGGGGCCTGGAGGTCTCTACAGAATTCAGATTCCTTTGAGATTATTCACAGATATTCTGAAGCCAAACTGAACATCCTTCCAAAGTGAGTTAACAGAACCACTGATGAAAGGAAAAAGCAGCACGCCAACAATCAAGGGATTATGGTTTTGTTGCTCCGGTTTCTTGGCCTTTACCTCCATAAAGCTATTTTCAACATTAAGAGCTTTTAAATAGCATTCAGAGGTTGAACATCTGTTACTTCAATATAACTGAATGTCACAATGACCTCTGTCTCCTTCATAGGTTGGCTTCATTGCTCGTCTTCATATACTGATTTTTGGAAACAACCCATGGATTGTAGCAGGTTCTGTATACTTCAGAGTTTGACAGAGTGCAGGTCAGCTAAATTATGGAGACACTTCCACAGGCAGAGCAAACAGAAGTAAAGGCTGAAGGAAATCTATTTTGCTGAGAAGCAAACTCATACAGAACACAAAAATGTGCCATAAGGCAGTTGACGTTTATCATGATCCTGGAAGATCCAAGGTTTCAGAAAATTATCCTTCCCACATTATCCTTGAAAAATATTTCAAATTTTAGCAAAAAGCTGTTGTAGCAAATCTTTCCAGTCTTTTTTTTTTTTCATTCTTATACAAAAAGGACTGAGATAGGGCGATAGTAATTTGGATACAATTAACGTATGTTGAAAAATAAAGTAGGGTGCAGAGAAGGTAATGAGGAACAGCTTTTTTTACTGAAAGCGATATGATTCTGTCACTTTAGGAAGAGTTTTAGGTTCAGCGTTTTCACAAAGGTTTGTAAGAAGACAGACTGGTTATACCGTAGTTATTTCTCCCAGAAGTTCAGGAAATGAACACTGCCTTTGTGCCTTTGGTCAGTAATAGATATCGTCTGCAATCATGTCATAATAGAATCTTCTAGTGCTAAGATATTTTTACATCACCATTTTGAACAATTTGAGAAACCCAAGGTAAAAATCTAGCTTGTCACTTGTTTTATATAAATTACTAACATTTGTTGTAAATATATTCCTGTTCCCTTCATTACGTTTCCTGCTTTGCAAGGGATGCTGGTATGGAAGTGTTCCAACTTGGTGGAAACATTGTCCAAGCGAGCACTATATATTTATCAGTCTAGATCCAGCTAGAGTTTGTATTACTGGTTGATGAAAGGTAGCTTCCTTCAAGGGCATCCATTGGGTGTCCGTGTGTGTGTGAAAAAAAAAAGTCAGCATGGTGACCATGACTGTACAGTTACCATATTGACTTTTTTGACCCCCTCTATGGACGTCCCTAATTATTTCCTCTTAGTTCCTTGCTGTGAAACATCTGCCTTTTAAGCTGGAAGCCTTATTCTATGTGACAGTTACGTTTTTAGAGCCAAAATCAGAGACTATTGAAGTGCAATTTATCAACGCACCTCTTACCTACTGCAGCTAGTATCTCAATGAGCTCATACTATGGATTTTAATTTTTATGCACGAAAATAATACAGAGAGAGAGAGAGATTCCTGACCTTCATGAATGTGTCCAAAAACATGAAGTCGTGGTTGTATTCGTCTCTGGATTGTATTCAGCAGCTCAACGCAGCCCACCCTTTGCATTTTCTTAGGAACCCAATCTAGAAATCCTTCAAAATAAGAAAAAAACACAGCATATAAATTACTGAGACACTTTATAGCTCAAATTTAAAAATCTACTTCGTTCTATATCTGACTCTTTTAGAGGAGAGAATGTCTGGAGAGAATGTTTGAAGAGTTATTTTTGTTAATGTATAGAAATGGAAAAGAGATGAATAAAATTGAGTAACGAAGTATGCAAGAAGAGGGATTTCAGCCAATCTTACTGCTAAAAGCTGTGCTGATGTGTGCCCAAGATAGAGACGGCGCTAATAAATGCCAAATACACAACCTTGGTCAACAAATGCAAGGGAAAATCTCAATAGCTGTTATTATTAGCCAGTTATTATGATAAAGTAATAAAATGATCTATTTTTACTTTATTTATGAGTTTATTTTATTTGATGTGCTTTATTTTCTGCATATAACCCAAGTGAAAATGTAAAATAAACTCAAAGGTTAAATGCTCGGCTGTGCTATTTGTAATGGAGATGAAATGACTGCCATGCCTTAAATGCACGTGATATGGTTTCAATCAACAATTTAAAATTCCTACAAGGGAGATGTCAGCCAATGACAGTGACTTGTAGGAAAAGGATCAAATCTAGGTATGAAGGGTACAGCTGTCTTTCTTTCTTTCTTTCTTTCTTTCTTTCTTTCTTTCTTTCTTTCTTTCTTTCTTTCTTTCTTTCTTTCTTTCTTTCTTTGTCACACATGTTTTTTCTGGTCAAGCATACAGTTTGCTGCTAAGTAGCCTGCCGAAGACAGTACTGCATAAAATGGATGTGGACAGGATAAAGAAGAAAGTATTGCTGAACGAAAATGAAATTTAATTTAGATTTGGTTCATTAGCTAAGAACTGTTAATACAGTTATTCCTCGTGGCTTCAATATATGCTTTCTGGCATGTTAAAAATTACAATTTGGTGGCGAGATCTGGAGAATCCCTGGCAATCCTACCCAAGGTCCTCCTTCTGGGGCAAATGTGTGTTGGCTCCATCTAGACTGAGACCACTGTATCTGAGAGAAAGCTTAGTTCAGTGTTGTCCAAACTTGGCTACTTTAAGATGAGTGGACTTCAACTCCCAGAAT